GGACAGGGAATCCTGGTGGAACATGCATTATGGAAATAGAGTCCAAACATAAAGTATCTTGTATAAAATTATAGAGGACTTTAGCTTTATGCTATAAACAATGGAAAGCTATTAAAATATTTTTCAATAGGAACGGATATGATGAAATTTGTATTTGATCTCCTATGGAGCAGGGTAAGGGTAGATACAAAAGGATGAGATTGAATGTAGCAAGACCAGTCGGTAGTCTATAGCCATGGTGTACAAAGAAAAGTAAACGTAAAGATGTTGAAGTGGGAGGCTAGATTACTAAGAAGAAGAATCAACATGATTCAGGGATTTACTGAATAATCCAGGCAAACAATAGAGAGGAACTAAAGATAGCTCTCAGAATTATGGTTATAAGAATTAGGTAAAAATGATATAATTAATAAAAATTGGGAATATAAAAAAAGGATCTGATGGTTATTTATTTATTTATTTATTTATTTTTTAAAATATATTTTATTGATTTTTTACAGAGAGGAAGGGAGAGAGATAGAGAGTTAGAAACATCGATGAGAGAGAACCATCGATCAGCTGCCTCCTGCACATCTCCTACCGGGGATGTGCCCGCAACCCAGGTACATGCCCTTGACCGGAATCGAACCTGGGACCTTTCAGTCCGCAGGCCAACGCTCTACCCACTGAGCCAAACCGGTTTCGGCAGATCTGATGTTATTTAGATTAATTTTGTATCTACACGATGTCAGGAGGATACTAAAGTTTACAAATGTCATGTGACAACTGATCCAGAAACCACTGCATCACCCAAATTCTCTGTTATTTAAGTATTACATCATTTCCAATGAATTTATTTATGCCAAAAATATATATTGATATATAATATGAATTGGGCACTATTGTAGGTGTTGGCAGAAAAGGTGTGAAAGCCCAAGTTTTACCTGGTAAACTAAAATTACTGAGACCACTATTGGGACTTTCCATAGGAATCTTATGAACACGATGAAGACATAGGTTGATTGCAGACAAAGCAGGACACTGGTAAGTGGTTGGATTGCCTATGCAGTGTGTGCTGATGAAGGGATTGCCATGAGCTTAATAAAATTCTCACCTAAGCTTGGGCCTCAGCCTATTTTTTTTCAACTATGCTTTCAATAATTTGGATAAAGAAGGAGAAAATGTATTCATCATAATTACTTTTGAAGGATGTGAGAAATATGAAATAGTATCAGATAAAATTGAACAAAGACTTTCTACTGAGTCAGCCATAATAAAACTATTTCAACTTAATGGGAATATTATTTCTGAGTCACAGTAATATAATGATCAGAACATTTAAATGTTTTCAGTCACTAGTACATACTATCTTTACGTCACAGCAGCATACTCTTAATGATAATATTTTTTATTGCACACCACACTATGAAAATACCACAAGTTAAAGACATTTCTTTTAATTCATGAAAGAAATGTTCAAACATCAGGTCCCAATTTCACAATGATTCTTTTTTTCCCTCAGAAAATATGCAAACAGTAAGTAATTCATGACTCATTTATTAAAAGTCCCATGATTTCAGTGTAAATTCCTAGTGAGGCTTTGGAATTGAGGCTTCCTTTCTACTGTTCCCATATTCTCTGAGTCATCAAGGTTTTTAGACATTGGCAGGAGAGCCTGTTCCTACATCCTCATAGTGTTACACGTGGCTAGGAAGGAATATAATGGCAGAACTTGAACTGTGAGTGAGTGTAAATACCATGCTTAGACCCAGGCATCGTGGCCCCAGCCCTCAGCCCTGGACTTTGCAAGGCTCCTCCAATTGTGATGTGCAAATAGATTTATCAGGATGTTGTTAAAATACACCTTGTGATTTGGGAGGTCTGGGGTTGGGACCTGAGAACTTGCATTTCTAACAAGTTCCCAAGTGCTGCTGCTGCTGCTGCAGGTTCACAAATCCACTGAGAATTACTGGTTTAATGACTCCCTCTGTCTTTCCTCCAGACACACCCCCTCCCCATAAGGTGAGTCTTTCATGCAATGCTGGGAACCTGCCAAACCAAAGCCTATGTCGTTCCTTCTAAAGCAGGACTCCAAGAATTCCCTTCCCAGATCACTCTCTGGCCTATGCACACCTCTCCCCAGTCTATTCACCCCATGGTAGATCCAGCCACCAGCCTGTACATGTCAAGGTCTGAGGGCTGATGAAGGGACAGCTATGTGGAGGAGGCTTAGCTGTGGGCTGGGGTGTGCCCCTGGCAGAGCTCCTCCTGGTGCAGATTGAGGCCGAGGAAGAGAGAGGGAAGGGGTGGGCTCCAGCAGGCCAATGTTGGAATGGTCTTATATCGGTTTATATAACTGACAGGGAGAAATCCCATCCTGTATAGCTTATTCCAACTTTAAGGTTGTAGAATCACAGCTTGGATGGTTCTATTCATGAGGAACCATTGCATCCAAAGTGCTTTTCTGAGAACATGGGAACAATGTTTTCTTCCTTTCCATATAACCCTCCACAGCAATTTTCTCCAATGACCACACAATTTAGGGAACAGTGTGTAGTGTGTGGGGTTTGAGATGCCACAGGTTTTAGCTGAAATCTCGCTTTAACTTCTTGTGTGATTTTGAAAGTGTCAGTTACTTTTGCACAAGAGGCCATTCTTTGCCCTCAGTTTCTTGATCTTTAAAATGAGAATACAAATGCTTTCCTACTCTCTTGCACCTCTTACCCATTTACACTCAACTTCTACTTTATCCTTCATTCATTAGCTCAAATGCCACCATACTGATTAGATCAGGTGCCTCTAGATCAGTGGTCGGCAAACTGCGGCCCCTTGAGTGTGGCTCTTCCACAAAATACCACGTGTGGGCGCACACATATAGTGCGATTGGAACTTCGTGGCCACACTCAAGGGGCCAAAGAGCCGCATGTGGCTCGAGAGCCGCAGTTTGACGACCACTGCTCTAGATAATCTGGAAGTCACTGCACTTTTTCATTGCATTTGCAAACCTTTGTTCTTTAATATTTGTCTTTTTGTTTTGATTAATGTCTATTAACCCACTGGATATCAAGAGCAGGGGTCATGTCTCCTTAATTTCCTTAATCGTGTCCTCTCTATCTGGCACAGAGGCTGGAACCTAAGAGATGCTAAATCCATGCTTGCTAAATGATCAAACAAATGTTTGGTTATTGTCACAATTAGAGATAAAATATACTAAGTGACTGGTACATAGTAGGTGCTTAATAAATGGCATGGATGAGTTTTCAGTGCAATTGATATTATAATTAGACATTTTATCTTGTTTCCTCATACTTGATTCATGGAGGGAAATGGGGTGAATTTGGGACAGCCATGATTTGAACTGTCCAAGTCAAGAAAAAAAAATGTGGTGTGATAAACTACTGGCTTGAACAACTAGAATCATGATACACTTTTCAAAGGCTTAAGAAATGAAAAACCCACAATTTAAAACAAAGGGAAAAAGTACAAGTAAAAGTTTTGTTTGTCCATGTTGCTAGTTCCTCAGAACTCATGCCCCAAATAGTGCATCTTCTTAAAAGACATGTGGTGGATAACTCCTTTACCCAAGTCCTCACGCTGACATCCTCTGCCGCCTCCTCCCCCTCACTTCTTGGGGCTTATTTTATCTGTCCCTTCAATATCAGCCAGCCCAAATATTATCCTGTCAGATATTTCTGGGGCCTGTACTTAAAGAGACATTTCTTTTTTTTAATGTCAAAATAAACCATCTGCTTGTACAACTGTTTCTAATTACTTTCCTGCCTAAACTCTCCACTTGAGGGGTTTGGCACCAGCACCCCGCCCAGAGCGGTGCTGCTGCCCAAATCTTCACAGGCGGCTCATCAACGCACTTGCAGCTCCCGGCAGAGCCCGGGACCTGCGCGCCTGAGTGTCGGTGTGTCCGTCTGCCCTGCCTTCTGCTGGTGGCACCTCGCCCTCCTCCTCCTTGCAGAAGCACAGCTCGCCTCCACAGCCCGGGAGCTCAGCATGCGTCCCGCGGGCTTCAGGAACTTCTTGCTGCTGGCGTGCTCCCTCCTCTTCGCGGGGCTGTCAGCTGTTCCTCAAAACTTCTCGCCATCTCTGAGGTAAGTTTGGTTTGTTATTCAAGACAGACTTGCCCTGCTTTGTGCGGCAGGGCTCAAGCCTGCAGGATGGCTGCCCTAAGGAAGTTGGACGCAGGATGAATGTTTTCAACCTGCTCCCGTTCCTTTCCTTATATCTGTGCTGCGCGTGGCTTCTCTTCTGTTCTTTTTGCTTGTACTTTGGAAAAAAGAACCACCGAATAAATAAATAATTTCCTCCTACGCCAATACATATCTGGAGGAATTTCTGCCACGAGTTGAAGGTGGTTCTCCCTGTGTGTATCTATGTTTTACATTTTGTATTACATTTGTAAGAGACTTGGAGGCACATTGCAAAGCTAAACTTTTAAAAAGTATGGTTTATAAGCACTGCTTAATGCAACTTTAGAAAGCTTTGTGTCTTATGCTATCATAACCTGTATAGCCCTTTCTATGTATTCATTTCTTCCTTTTCATAAAATAACTGCCCCTGGCCATCAGGTAGTAATGGGGCTTTTCAAAAATAACTGAAAAGGCAGCTAAGTGTCATACTTTGGATTAATTTGTATTTAATCTTAATGTGCATGTAAGATTCGGGTACACACTTCCCAGGGGCAGGGCTGGGTCACCTCTGTGCAACCGGAAGATGGCCCTATGCCTGGGTGGGCAGGTCATTTGGGGTCACGGTCATTTCTCAGGTGATAGCTTACGGGTGGTGCCCCTTGCCGGGGATGCCAGGGCACTTCCAGAGGAAGCTTGGCCCCCAGAGCAATGCGGGGCCTCGTGGGGTTCTGTCTGCATCTGGGTGGGCGTCGGGAGGAGACGCGGGCTCGGAGCAGCAGGAGCGGAGTCTGTGCTTGACCAGGGCCCTGCTGTGGTTTGTCGCCCATGCAGAAGCGGGCCAGGCGCCGCGTGCAGGCT